GAAGGATGATGAGGACTTGGACGAATATGTTGAAAATTTTAATGGTTTTGTTGATGAGTGGGAAGAATTACTTGATCAAGAAAAAAAAGTGCAAAGAGATGCAGACGCCGATTTAAATTATGATCTAGAAGTGGATATCAATAATTATCTACTTAATCAAACACATTCTGCAATAGAAATTAAAGCTAAATGGAATATTTGTGAAATATTTATTGATGGTTTGGATGCGTCTTTCAATATTAAATAACTGTTATTTTTAAGTTTTAAATAAAGTTTTGATCTTAGCGAATAATTTGATTTATAATTCATGAAATCTAAATTACATTGAACTTTTACGTACAAACAAATTTTTTTTAAAATATACTGCATCATTAACAAAAATATTTAATTCTTGTTGATGTGAAGCATTTTTGCTAATGATTTCATCAGTTGAATTCATTGCTATTGCAACAAAAATTTAATCAGTAAAATCGTTATAAAAAAAAGCCGGCACAACTAAAGTTGAAGCTTCAGCAGTTATCGAATTGAAAAAAAATTTATTAGCTTTATAGAAGACAGCATATATTATGAGAATTAGTAAGAGTATGCTTAAGCATTTAAATTTATAAATATCATTATTAATCGTGATGCTTGAACGAACAGGAGGGACATTGATGTTATACAATTGTTTTTACACACAGTGTGAAGTACATAAAAAAAATATTTTACAATACTTGATCGAACTTGATTAGTCAGTTAGTACATATTATGATTATAATTCAACACCATTTTTTATTATAGAAAAATGATGTTGGATTATAATCATAACATGTACTAACTGACTGATCAAGTCCGATCAAGTATTGTAAAATATTTTTTTTATGTGCTTCACACTGTGTGTAAAAACAATCGTATAATATCAACATTTTCTCCTATTGCTTGAATGTACGTTATTATGAATATTATTTAATCAATTGATTGATATGCTTAAGAATGCTCTAACATAGTGTTATAAATAGTTGAAAAGTATTATATATGTAGGTAGGTAGGAAAATTAAAAAAGAATTAAACCAATATCACTTGATTTATTAATTATTGGTTTAATTTCCTTGAATTTCGTCACCCATCTATAATATTAGCTTGTAGGCAACTTATAGTAATTCTGCAGTTGCTATTTCGTATTGAAAGCTTGAGTATTAATCATAGTACAGTACTTAATATACGTGTTTGCGAATAGTTTAAATAAAGATTACAGGTTCAGCACTTTTGCAACGTAAATAATCATTATTAATAAATTATTATATATTTTATATAGATTAATTTTATTCTATATATACTATATATTTGGCCAAACTAGCCAAATAATTTTATTGCCCATTTTGGCTAATGGCCACGGCTATTGGCCGGCCAAAAAACAAAGTGACAACACTGACTTTAGCTAAATAGTTTGATGTTTATTTAAATATTTTAGGGCAGTTTTTTCATACTTGGGATGACGTTAAAAATTTTCTAAATGCATATGGGTTAGAAAAAGGTTTTAGTATCTGAAAAAAATGAACTGAAACTTAACAAGAAAATGATAATCAAATTTTAACTAGGGTTAGTTAGGAGTGCGGTTGCTCTGATAAGTATCAGGCAAAAAAAGTATTGAATCTGAATAATCAAAGGAATTGAAAATCAAAGGCAACAGATTGTCAATGGAGGGTTAATGGAAACTTTTCAAAGAGTACATTAATGATTCGTTTTACAACTATTGTAGATAAACATAATCACCTAATGATTCCTTCACCTGCAACTAATATAGCAAAATATTGTAAGCTTAGTAATGAAATAGTAGAGTTTATTGAGTTCTGTGTACATCATAGTATAACTAGCACCAAAAGTATTAGAAGTCTTTTAAAAGGAAAGTTTCCAGGAAAAAAGATTTATCAAAAAGCACTTTATAATGCAATTCAAGCAGCCAAAAAAAATTTAGTAACATAAGTTGAATATAACGCCTCAGATCTTATGAAATATCTATATTCAAGACAAACTGAAAACACTCATTGGTTTGTAGAGGCAAGGTTTGAAAAAGATGAATGTCAATTATGTGGATTAGTATGGTTGTCATCTGAACAACAAATTTTATGGACCCATTATCATGATGTTCTTTTCTTTGACACAATATCTTGTACTAATAAGTATAACATGATAGCCTGTTTTTTTGTTGTTATTGACAATTGTAATCGAACACGACTTGTTGCAACTGCATTACTTGAAGATGAGACAGAAAGTAGTTTTATTTGGGCATTAAGAATGATTAAATAATGTGTGGAAGTCAGGAACCAAATGTTGAATTCACTGATTCAGATCTAGCGATGATTAGTACAATAAACTTGGAATTTTCATATTCAATTCATTGTTTATGTATATTCTACATTGATCCTAACTTAAAAAAAAACCTTAGAAATAAGCTAAGCTCAACAGATTTTAAAGAGTTTTGTTATGCTTTTTTTAAGTGTAAGAATATATTAGTTCCAAGTATCTTTGAAAGCCAATGGGAAAATTTAAAAGTAAAATATCTATCAGTGAATAGTTATATTAAATGACAACTGGATCCATTTAAGTATAAGTGGGCTATCTGTTATACAAATAATTAGTTTACAAGTAGTGCAAGTAGTACTCAACGAGTTGAAAGTCTTAATCATAAAATTCATGATTGTGTTTAGTCGAATTTATCACTTTTAGAATTAACATGAGAAATTCAGGAATTACTCGATAAAGAAGCAGAATATGTGAGAGTTGAGGAGTATAAAGAACAAATCCCTATAATTGGTCTTCCAACTATTTCAAAAACCTATTTTAGCACTATTGAAAAGGTTGTTTCACAATATCTTTTACTAGCTATGGCAATTGTTGTATGCAAACAAATATAAGAATATTTTTACTATGATTGTTTTCAAATAAATAGCGTAACTATTAATTTTATAATGCAGGTTAAGTATTAATTTTATAGTTTATATAAATTACATGATTGTTTTGTTTTTATTAAGAAATAATATAATTCAAGATTCTATTTTAAGCTGTGTAAAGAATCTATAACATGTAATTTACTGTAATTCTATGTATACTAAACTATTTTTCTTGTTTAATAGAAACAAGTAAATATTAATTATATTGAGGGAGCACTAGAAAATAATTATGATATTACAAAAATATATTTTGCTAACATTATATTGACAATTAGACAAGATCAAATTATTGAAATTTGGAGAGTAGTTATATCCTGTGGATCAAAAAATAACTATGTTTTATTATTAGAAGATGGGTCCCATCGATGCATGTGTAATATTATTATAACTCATGGATACCTGTGCCGATATTTTTATAAGGTTTTACGTTGTTCTCCTCAGGCTAAATGGCATATTAGACTTATTGTCACACAATAGTATAAAGACAATTTGGTTGATGATATTTGGCAGAAATCTCCAATTATTATATGTACAAATTCAGATGAAACCCAAGTTTAGTATGATGTTGAAAATCCAGTTTGCAAGTTTGATTACATAAAGCAAGTTCGAAGCATTGAAGTTTATAATAATGCATTAAGAGAAGTTAATAATACATGACAGAAGTATAGTAGAGGACAAGGCATCATGAGAAAAGCACTCGATATTGCAATTGCGACTAATTCATATGATGAATTGATAGGTATTTGTTATGGATTTATATTGGATAAACAAGGAAGCCAAGAATCTGATGTAATAATGGATAATACTGTATGCAATATCAAGAATCCTGTGGTTAGCACAAGAAAGGGATGACTACCTGGGAGGGCAAAAAGTAGTGTTGAAGTTCAAGATCAACGTGCTAAAAGAAATCAGCATTTACAAACTCTAGAAAATACAAATGAATATAAAGACAATAGGAAAACATGCCAAAATTGCAGGAATAAGAGTCATAACAGGGCAAAATGCAAGAATAAGTATTAATTAGTTTTCATAGTATAGTTGATTTATCATTATAGATCTATGCATTGTATCTTATATGTTATCTGCATTGTTAATTGAGAAAGAACGTTGCTTGTCTTAGTTTGAGATGCTTATAATTCAATTTTTAGTGTATACGTATATGCACATATGTACATAATTGATAAATACATATGTACATACTATTTGATATGTAGCAGATAGATTGTATATATATATATATACAGTACTTATGAACTGTAATTTGTGTTAACGGTTTACTTTTTGTAGCTGGTTGTAAAATCAAATAATTCAGGTTTAGTAAGTATTATTAATATTGGCTTTTTTGTATATTTAGTAGTTTTATAAAAAGAATGGCAGCACTAATTTGTATAGGGATCTATTTTATAATGATACTATAATAGTGTTTTTTCAGTTATTTGCTAATAGAAATCAAGCTCAAATTTAATATATTAGCAAGGCTTTAGATCGAAATATAAAAAAAATGTTGAAACAGATAGTAAACTAGGTAAATAAAGTAATATCTGAAAGTTGCGTTATTTGCATTTTTTGAGTCACACATATTGATATCTTTGAATTTGGCTATTTGTGTAAGCAAATTCTTTATGTTTTTAAATTTGGCTATTTTAGATTCTATTTAAAGTTAGTATGTATATTAAATTATGTATTAGTTAACGTTAATATATAAATTGTTTTAATATTATTTATATGTATATACTTTATTATATAATTTGTATAGTAAAATTTGGGTCATGTGATTGAGCAGTAATTTCCTCCCAGTTAAGATTAGAAATTCTCTTTATTTAAAAGACAAATAGTTTATTTATATAAAAAAATAAAAAAAAATAATTATACTAAAATAAAATAATAAAAAAAAATAAATATTTTAAATTTCTGTATCTTCATTTTTTTTGCTAAATTTTTCTAATTCTGTTTTAAATCCATCAAAGATCTGTTCACTATACATATTTGTCATTGCTTCAAATGTTGATTGACCTTTTATATTAGGAATATATGTTGTTTCTATTAATCTAGAATCAAAAAATACAGGAATTTCAGAATTTCTATCAGTAATTTTATATGTTTCTCCTAATTCTAACTTTTGTTCTTCAGTTAAATCTGTGTTTAACAATTTAGATTGATATAAGAAATCTATATAATCAACTATCATTATAAATCTATAGTTAGCAGTATCATATTCTATATTTTTATTTTTATTTCTATTATAAACACAAACTTCTTGTTCTTCTTTCAGAAATTCTTGACACATTGTTATTTCATACGATTGAAATAAACAATT